GTGTTCACAATAAAAATTTACCCGTAGTCAATTATTTTATTTTGTACATAAGGCTTACTTTTTAGGTTCGACTATTTTTCACCACATATAAGGGAAAAACAAATATGATGGAAAAATTAACTAATTTTTTTTATAAAATAAATTGTGCGTTATAAAATAAATGATTTTCTTGTAATAATATACCTCGTAAAATTTAAAAATTAATATTTTTTGTATTAAGAAAACTGTCTATTATATTCATTTTCTTCTCTTCCGTGCACATTTTGCTTCGGTATGTCACTCATAACGTTGCTTAATATTAAAAGAAAATGAATTTTTTTATTCATTGATATCTAGGTTTTCTAATTGACAATAAATGCCACTCCGCCTGCTGGGAGCCAAAATTTCGTCAAAAGAAATAAAATGGACAAGCTTCATTGGTGAAAAACACGTTCCGGCCATTACCATGCAGTTGGCGCACAGCCAATTGCAAGCGATCGAAAGAAGAATAAAGGAATAGCAGTTCAGAAAATGCAACGAAAGAAAATTGCCATCCCAGGAAAAGCGAGAAGCACTATAAAATAAAAGATTTAAAAAGCTATAGCTATCCTATGTAGAGTTTCGTTTTTGCAATTTTTTTTAGTTATTCGAACTTCTCATTCGAACATTTTTAAATTTTCTGCTGTTAATTTTCAGTCTAAGGGAGCATCACAAATGTAAAAAATAACTTAAATTTTGTTTCTATGGGAACATCATAAATGTAACAAAGAATTTGCATTCTTTAGAGGAAGAAATAAATGTAAGAGACACTCGAATGTTCTGTCCGAGAGACACAGAAGTGCTTATTGAGTGGTAGTGTTGGGGAGAACTAAGGAAAATATAAAAGAAAAAATAAGAATTAAGGCCTTTTGAAGAATCCAAAATTACTAGTTTGCTACAGTGCTTTATTAACTCTCTTTATTGTCTGTCATAAATTACTTTTCCCGCTGTTCTGCTGAAATAGGCTCTTTTTTACTTCCTTGTACGAAGTAAAAAGGAAGTATTGTAATCGCGAAAAGTTTCAGGCAGCATATTTTAACGAAAATATCAATTTTGACTGCAATCGAATGCAATTTAACGATATTTTTGGGTGATATTTGTACGTAAGGACAGAAAAAATACTCTTTTCCTTCAAAAAAATTATAAAACTGCTTTTAAAGTGAATTCTGAAGAGAATTTTCGTGGCGTCTGTACGAACGTATGTACGTACGTACGTATCTCGCATAACTCAAAAACGAGTAGCCTCAGAACGTTGAAATTTTGCATATAGGACTGCTATAACATGTATGCACCTCGTATTTTGGTTGCAATCGGCCGCACCAAACGTATATAAATATATTTATATATATATCCACTCTATTACCCGGCTCAGTGATCTCAGTTTCTTTACTCTTATATGTTTGTAAATTGTATATTTTTTGCTTTAAAAATGATTGAATTATGCTGTTTTTATCTTCCGGTTAAGGTTTTTATGCCTTTAGTAAATCTGAATGCAATATTTTTAGAATTATCAACAATTTGAAAGTTGTTCAAGTGCCGCTAAGCCATTTTTTTGACGGTGGCCATTGATTGTTTACATTTGAAACAGCAGGATAGTGGATTTATTGCCAATCTAGAGAAACTTAGCTTCGCAACAACAAAGATAACGCCTTTATTTATTGTTGCCAATTAAATCATGCTTAATCTTTTCTGGAATTTTTTCGAGGAAATAAGTGTTTAATATAGATCGTAATTTTTAATATAGATATTTTGAGTTTTTATGTATTTTTGCCTTCTCGCGAAGTGAGAACTGAATTAATTGAATGAGAAATACTCAATCGTCTGTGAAAAACTGTTTCTTTTTTGTTTTGTTTGCTTAATTTTTTATACATCATTCTAGCTTTATTATAGTATTTGAATAGAACATGTGGCAACGATTGGATAATTCTATTCTTTAAATGATATAAATTTTGTGCATTATGACTTATAATATGAACTAAATATAATACTGTTAAGTGAATCTAGCGCCAGAGTGTCGCTATGGTAAACAAATATTAGAGTGAATTTTAAAGAATGCATTTATTCTATTGTGGTTTATGCGCTGTCGGCGAAGTAGATTTAATTCAGTCTAATAAGTTTATATGAAATGCAAGAAAAAATGCGTATAATTTAATATTCCGTACAAGGAAGTCATGGGGTGTACACATCAGATTTTTACTTGTACAGTATTTGAACAAATTTTGCATCTATTCTTAAATTTTTAGTAGTATTTTTAGTAATTTCTGCGTATTTTTAACTGCCTCTGACCTACTGCACTGCTTGTGTTGTATTTCCACCGGTATGGACTTATTTTATTTTTTCTGCCTCAGATAGGAACTTGTATATTTTTTACACAACCTTATTCTGGAATTTTGCATCTTGTGCATATTTCCTGACTTATTTCATTATGCTACCCTGGATATGTTTTCTCCCACCAGCTCAGAAATTTTCACCACCTCTCTTGACCCATTAGATGACGTTACCTGTACCGTCTGCTTTGCAGTACTTATCAGATGTTGGCTTTCCACAAAGTATAATGTTGCCCCTTTCTTCTATTTTGTGACCCTTTCTTTAAGAAAACTTCACTCAGATTCTCCAATTTCGTCATGCCCTTCTTGGGAATCTTTAAGGAGCTGGAAAGAGCTAACTTTTACCTTTATGCCAGTCTAAATACCAGCATCCAAGTCTAAGTCCAAAGACTTTTCACATTATAAAATTTTCTAACTTTAAGTAAAAAACAAAAAAGGAAATAGCATGTAGGTAATAAAACTTTTAAACGTTGGAAAACAGTCCAGCTGTTTTCAGAAAATTTAAGCAGGCTTATATAGTCTCAAAATAGGTATCTTAATATACTGTATGAAAATCAAAATCAGTATCAAAATAGGTATGAACTGTGTTTTACCAATCATATATTAATATACTAGCGGAAGTACCCGATGCCAGTTAAGTTACGTTAAGAGTAATGCATCTAACAACAGAGAGAACGATATCGCTGTAATAATTCTCTGATAATAATGCAAGAAATATGATTCATAGTTATACATTTTTCAATCTGATGCTATGTGAAACCGACATAAAAAATATCGATAGAAAAATAAGCTAATTCTCTCTCATAATATCAGCAACAATGCCATGCAGTTTTTAATGATTTTCGTCTTTCTAATTAAATGGTCGTACGGCTTAAGTTCCGTTCAATTTTAGTCGATTAAATATGGCAAAAAATTTATCATAATTGATCAGAAATCGATAACGCGAACAAACAAACAACGCGCGACACTGTTGCCACTCGGAAAAATGAGTGCGAAAATTAGTGCTTTCAGAGTTTTCAATTAATATATCGGCTGATTAAAGTTGTACGAAGATTGGAATAGCTGAAGGGGCTTCCCACGAATTTTTGGAAGCGGGAATAATGTATTTAATGTTTGGCAATGCTATTTTTATTTCATCGCAAAGATTTCGAAATTTTATTAACAATCTCTAGGATTTGAAAGCGAACAGTGGCAACAACTTAAATAAAGCAGATTTTCATCTCCAGCTTGTAGACTGTTGCCACTCGGAAAAATGAGGGCGATAATTATCGTTTTTCCGAGTTTTTAACTAATATCTCTGATTTTAGCTATCGTTTGGGAGGGGGGGGGAAGTGGACGTCAACGTTTTCCAGGACCTAGAAAAGAATTATAGAATGTTTGGTGACGATAGCTATAGTAGTGACAAAGAACCTTCTGCTGTATATATATAAATACAATTATCATATTTTAATATACATGACTAAGGGGAAGTTCTCTCCATTTATTGAAATTCGAAAATTATATTACTTGTCAATTTTTTACCTTTTGTCATAGGAAATTTGTTTAAAAATGCCAGGGAGACGATACTCGATCGAACGGAATTGCTGTTAATTTTATGGAAAGAGAATAATTTCCCTGAAAAGTCAGGATCTTTCTGTGGAACTGACAACAATTTTTCTTCTAAAATATTTTCAGATTTTGATATTTTAAATTCTTCTTTAAATTTAAAGCATGTTTCAACGTTTGTTTCCCACAGTACATACAACCTTTACTAAGATTTACGCTTATAAAACTCTCCCATTTCAATAATGTTTGTTTTTAAAGAATTTTTTATTGCATTAATATTTTCTTACCACTTCTTAGGAGATAATCATACTGAAATTAATTATTAAAAATTTTCAAGTTATTTCCTGAACAGCTCTTCATTTGGGAAGAAAATATGACAACATATACATTTTCTGAAACTATTTCCATGGAACATAAATTTAGAAAAAAATCGAAATGAAACATTCATTACATGTAAAAAACTAAATTCACAGATTATAGAAATTAATTTAAAATAATTTTATCAACTATTAAAATAAATATATGCATAACAGTAAAAAAACTAATTTTTTATTAAAGCTGACAAAATCATAAATTCATATGCGAATCTGAAGTTGTAAATTAATTAAAATAATATTTAAAATTAGTCAAAAATGTAGAAATATCTAAAAAAAAAGCAAAAGCATAACCTTAGTTTGACGTCCATTTTGAATAAAACTCTACTGATTTTGAGGGCGCTCAGGCAGAGGTGCGTCTTTTTCAGAAGCAAAAGATTTTTCCTTCTGCCTAAGAATTTGTTTCATTGTGAAGAATATGCTTTAAATAATATTTTTAAAACAACTTTGAAATTTTAAAAAGGACAGTAAAATATGTATGATTTTATGATCTTCCCAATTTCATTCAATTATCAGTGACTTGAACAAAATCTAAAATTAGCAACATGAAATTTTCTACTTTACAATTTCAATAATAATGATTTTAAAACTATATACAATATCCGCAAAAACACTTCTTGATTTAAAGTTGTGATAAAATTAGAACTTGTTGGAATATGTTTAAAATGTAAGGTGTTAGTGAATCCATAGACTCAAAACATTTCTTTTTTTTTTTTTTTTTTTTTTTTATTTGCAGAATCCTTGTACTACTGTAGGCAGTAAAGTTAAATTCAATATGGCGAACAACCGACAGCGAAGTAGCGTGTGGGTATTAGAATTTCATTTAAAAAAAACAGTATCATGGCGGTGCAGCATGCTTTCTAGCTCAAGTTTAAAGTGAATCCATCTACAAACAAGTCAGGATGCATCTGTGACCAGAGAAAGAGACATTTGGACCAACCAGCAGTCTCAAATCCAGTTGTTGATCACGTCAAACACTTTTCCAGAGCATGAAAAAAATCAACGTTAATAGTTTATAAGATAAATGATTACTTTCTTCAACAAAAATGGGACTCCATTCATTTGTCGCATTGGACCAAATGACAAGGTGTTTTTTAAGTAAGTGGCCTTCGTAATCACCGGACATTACCGTTTGTGCTCTTTTTCATATGGGGCATGACGCAGACCGATGCCTTCACCTTTCCCGCTATGGCTGAAGTAAAGGAATGCGTCACTGAAGCTGTAGACTGAATGAAACTGGATATATTTCCAGCTTGATCACTATATCTGTGTTTGCCGGGTAGTTAGTGGAGCGGACATCGAATGTTTGTAATGAACTGATACCACATGAAACTTGGTGAGTTGATCAGCCTGTATAAACAAAAGTAAAAGAATATTTTAATAAATTTTTATTTATAGTCTATTCAGATCAAGGAATGTTTTTATAGGTATCCTGCAACCTTAACTGTTAAATAGGACTAACTAATTTCTCTTACATTTATAGCTTTGCGCTGGGGAACACGGTAGTCTCACTCAGCTGTGTTATTTCCAGCAGTTGAACAAACTTATCCGATGTATTATACTAACAGTTCCTCTTCTAATAAGCACCATAAGTTCTGTAAACTTCTTTTAAGTGTTTTTATATTATACTGTCAAGGAATCATATAACAACAAACGTAATGGAAATTTTGCAGCTAGCCGCTGACAAACAAGAGTTTTCCTAAAAGTTCAGATATTATCTTTAAATATGGGAAAGGATTGAATAAAAACTCGCGTTTTTTTCATCTGTCAAAATTTTACAAAGCAAAATACCGTATTTGACGGCATATAAGACGCACCCTTATTTAGACGGCCACACACAAGGAAAAAAAGTTTCAATAGCGTGGTTTCTTTTAGTTCTCACGTTTCGTAAAAGACAAATAAACAATTATTGAATGCAATTACCTTCACGTATAAGACTGTGTCCGTCACGTATAAGACGCAGGTAACTTTTTTGAGACCAAATTTAGGAAAAAAAGTGCGTCTTATATGCCGTTAAATACGGCATATAAATAATGAAACTTCAGTGTCTTAACTGTACGTTTTATCAAAAAAATTTGATACTCTCGTGACATTTATCTTTGTTGTGGCACCAGTTTAAACTAATTGGTTTTAAACAATTCTGTTTTCTAGACGCACAGCGACCTGTGATCGATTGGGGTTTTCTGTCCATTCATGGAATGCACTATCTTCAGAGATGTTGCTCCTGTATAGGTAACCAACCATCATAAAGTGTAGCTTATTTTTGAACTTTTCGTCTGAATTTTTCATACAGTGTCTAAAAACGAAGTACATGCAATTGCTCTTCAATTATACCAATTAATGCGACTTGTGCAATAATTCATATTTCTTCAGTCAAAGTGACAGTTGATCCTGCGAAATAGTCTTTGTCGAGCATTCAAACTAGCTATCTACCAACTTTCATCTTGGTACTTACAAATTCAGGCAATAGAGGAAAACAGTACTGTGTTACTTTTCGATCTTTTCATCTTTCGGACTTGAAGATCCTTAAAGCATTAACATCCTTGGTGTTTTCTAATTATGTCTTTCGCTGCGAGACTGCATAAAGCCTTTAACTCATCGGGGAAGTTATAACAAACTAGACGGCGCTTTTAATTAGTAACCGAATTCCTAATTGTCGTGGTGTACGACTAATTATATATGGTTTTCGAAATTAATTTTTTGTAGACAAAAAGTTACGATAGTCTATTTCTTTCACCCACAAATTCCGTTTTGCACAAAAATCTAATGGAACAGTATGAGTCTTCAGAATCTTACAAATATTCAGAAGACATCTACCGAAGCCAAACCAAACATTCTAAAGTGAGTCATTACCAGAACATTCTAAAGTGAGCCATTACCAGAACATTCTAAAGTGATTCAGTGCTAACTCATAACCATAGAAAGTCCGGGAACAAATGAAGATTTCGCGTTCCCCTCCTGTTTGCCAAGAATGTAAAACATTTCATTCTAAAATTTCGTAACATCAGTTTGACGCCTCTTGGATGATGAGTCCGGGAAGAGATATCTATCTCTCTTTGCCCCCCCCCCAGCCACGCTACCGGTGCGGGCGTCTAAACAGTAACAATACATTCATACATGACTTTTATAGTAATGTAATGACCAGTTCGTATCGTGAAGATTTTATAGATCAGCTAATTGCATTAGTACTTGGAAATAATGACTATACTTCTCTTTTTCTGGAAGGTAATGCTTAACGGTCTCTGCGCAAGATAATGTTACTCTCATTTTCAGGAAAATTGCATTTAAAAGCAACTTTTTGTATGAGCACTTACAAGCATTGAACACTTACTTGCTCATATTTTGCAGAACCGGCTTTTATATCATTGAGAGTATCTGAAAAGTATCTGCATCAGACTCCAGGTTACGGGTCTGCATAGATTTTCGTCACATCTTTGATCGAACTTAGTTTGGTCACTATTTGGAAATACAATTGAAAGCGTACTAAATAAGTTGGCTGCATGTTATTTAACTATTTTACGGAAAAAGATGCTTGTATAACATACTGAAAATTTAGTACCACCTACTCTTTTCTTCTTGTAATCCTTATGTACTTGATATATTACACCATGCCTATAAAAGTCTTTTTACTCGGCATTTATTTTCGGAGAGGTTGGTAGTAGATATATATCTCCTTAAAATGTTTTAAATGGCTCCGAGATCCATGTTTTTATATTTTTAAATTAAAAAATATATAACTTTTGCACGCATTCCTTCGGTATCTATGTTTATTTTCAGGAAAATGTGGCAATCATTACAAAAAATAAAGCACAAAACATTTAACTCCCGTAAGAATAAAAAATGACCGAGATATTTGATATTAAAATAGAGAATTACATTAAAATCATTTGACACTAAAATTGAGAATTACATACCTATACAAATTAAAAAGCGAAATGTTTGTATTTTTACTTAACTAATGCTGCACACAGCTAAAAATAAAATATGATATAGAAATTAGTTTCTGATGTTAAGAGATTAATTGACATGTATCTCTATGCCGATTATTGGGGAAAATATTGATCAATATAATTTTCTTTTCTATAAGGAAGATCTTATTTATAGAATCGTATGGAATTCTTGTTCTATAAACAAAGGCAAGCTTCAGTGTATATGCAGCCAACTCTTAGCATTATTTGCATTAAATAAAAGGGAAAAAATGTTTGGACATATAAAGATTTTTTTACGATTCTAAAGTAATAAAACTTCATGAGAATTTCTTGAAACAGCCACTTATTTTTACACTTCGAAAACTTATAAATTACTTGTGTGGAAATTCGTTTGACATACCAAATATAGTAAATTTATAAATATAAAAATACTAAATTACAAAACATTATCATTGAATGCGGTTTAAGGAACAAAAATTCAACCTCCAGTTAAAATAATTTACTTATTATCCGAAATCTCAACGCGAATTGAAAAATACAACTGAGGCTTGGTCAGGCCTCCAGAGAAATGGCGTTAGACATCAGGGTGCCTGGGTGCGAGAGCAATCCCTAGTAGAATACATTTAGAAACTGCAGATAGAATTCCGATATTAATTTAGATCAAAGATCTTAACAAGATGTTTTTTATAACAATATTTTTCGGTAAATATGATAATATAATTAAACATATAAAATTTCTAGAGAATATCTTCTAACGCAGTGGTCACCAAACTTGTGAAGCTTCTGAGCTACTGTACCATTTTTAAATCCTACTGTGAGCTATGAGCCAAAAGAACTACCAATTTTTTAAAGAAATCTTACATGTGTTTATTGCCTATAAACTTACATTTCTAGTAAATGTGAAATCAATTTTGATTAAACTGTATATAACAAAAAGAAACGGTAATCCAATGTACATGAGAAGGAAATTGAAATGTAGTTACTAATGGTGCTACTTTGGTAGACGGTTGCACGGATTTTGGGGATTTTTTATTTTTGGCGAGCGATACGACTTATGGTAAACCCATTGCTAGACAGGTTATTTATGGTAACTGATACTTTGTTGTCATTTTATAAAAAATAATGCATTTTAGTATGCATAAATTCTGTGTTTAAATATTATTTATGGCTTCTAACTATTAAAAATCAATTTAATTTTGCATTTTTATTTGAAATAAAAATTTTATTGTTTATGATATTTTATGGAAGTTTATGTTGTGGATCATGCAATGAATAACGTCACATTACTTTAAAAGTAATTGGTTTTAATATCTATAAGTTTAATCTAATGTTTTAAACATTATTTATGCCTGTTAAATATCAACTACAATTTAACTTTGCATTTTTTAAAATGATTTTATTATGAATGATTATTTAAATAATTTTAATTCTGTTCGTGATGTAATCAGCTCCCTAATTGGTTACAGAATATTTGTGCATTAATGAGCTGTAATCATTTCCCTGATTAGTTACTGAATATTTGTGCATTACCGCGCCTTTTTAAAATTTTATTATTCATCTCTTCGAATTCTTTAATTACATTTTTAAATTTTTTCTTAGATTACATTTTTTCAAATTTTTTCATTGATATCTAAATTATGATTCCGATTTTTTTGTGGTACTTATCAATATACGACAAGTTAAATGCTCAAAAAATTTAAGTACATATTTTTCTCTTACTTTATAATTGTATATTTCAATTTTTATTACAAAAATTAATACACTGTTTTAAAAAATTGCCGAGTTATTTATTGCCACATATGTTTTAATGTTAAATAATTATATTGTTACGTTTTTCTCTTACTTCACGTTCCTACGGGGTTCGTAGATTTGAAGTGAATAACGACGACACTTGATGAAGTACCGAAACACACTTTATTTAGCCAATATTAATCAGGACAGCTCCAATAACACTTTTTACAGTCGTAGAAAATCTACTATAAACACGTTGGAGCAATCAGCGACACAGCCTTCACACTGTCAGGCAATAACGGTGGAGATAGCTTCACTGCAAAGCACCAGAGTACAGCTTCCGACTCTGTTTGGTCGTTCTCGGAACTCCACGTACTCTCGAGACTCTCCACGCGATGCACTCGACGATACACAAGAGTATAGCTCTCGACTCAGTACAGTCTGAGACAAAATTCGACCATGCACTAATTCCCAATGCACTAAAAGACTCTCTCGATGCACTGGACGACCAACGCGGCGCTAGACTTCGGGACACTCGCTCAATGACTGACTATCAGCTCGCTAGACGAGGCACACACATGACTGCGGACCAGCAAGGTTTATATAGCTTTCGGCTTGTGTTCGAGAACATTCTGGGCTAAACCGGTAAGAAATCGTTCCAAAAGATTCTCCGTCCGTCCATGGCATATCGCCAATTTTGTCGCCAAATGGGCGATTTCTCGCCAAATGTGACAAC